CCCCCAAAACCCCAAAACCCCAAAACCCCACTACTTATTAGAAATAATAATTTTAATTGTTTCGAAACTATGAATAAGAAGAATAGCGATCAGTTCTCTTCAAGGCAAGCCCAAGTACATTCAGAGACTGCTTGTCTTTCAGTGAATAATTTTAAGCCAGTCCTTCAAAGCTCGTACTTGAGAAGATCCAGTAAAGGAACTGAGACTGAACAAAATACAAAATCTTTTAGAGGGTAAGATGGGATTTCAATATTATCATTATAGAAGAAATTTGTCTGGACTGTGAATAGGAAATCCAAAAGAGGCTTTTAATAAAACAATGAGGAAAATGCGTCGTTCAGAAGAAATTGAGGTAAGAAAATTATGACTAATTATATTAAGAAACTTATTTCTGAAATTTCATTTCTCTAGGCAACCCCAACTAAAGACCTCCGCCATCGCAAAACAAGCAAATTCCTTAACAAAACCTCCCGCTCAGAACAGACCTTCTCCGAGTTCTACAACCTCTCTAAACAAAAAGTACTCTCCTTCCCATCAAAAATAGCCTAAACCAACACATCTCCTTCTAAGACCTCCCACTTTTCACAACACAAAAATCAGCATTAACAAAATTAACCTTTCGAGGGACCTCAAAAGTTGGTTTCCAGTTAAAAATCTAGAATTGTCCAAGCTCACCCCACACAAGACTTTCTGTGCTAAGTATACAGGTAAGGTCGCACGAGGATGGGGGTTGCTAGGAATAGGGGTTATGTGGATATAGAAGAGAATAGAGGAGTAGAGAGGTGGAGGATAGGGGAAGAGGAATCGGTCGGGTCGGAGTCTTTGGAGAGGATAGAACGATCTCTTGCTCCTCTTAAGTACACTTCTCGCCTCTCCAAACTTCAGCCTACCTCCTCCCAAACCTCCTTACACTCCAAAAACGCAACCTCCCTACACTCCAAACCCAGAAAATCCTTTGTACACCCCTTAATAACCCCTAGCCTACCCCCAACTTCCAAAACCACACTACTACCAACATCAGGGCTTCTTTCCAAGACCGTAAGTATCCCCACCCCCAAAACCCCTCCTTCCCTCCCCAAAACCCCCTAAATTCCCCCAAAATCCAGACCAATCTCTAAAATTTCAATCAAAATGTTCACCTCCTAACCTTATTTCACTGGAAAAGAAAGTGAATTTTGGCATTTTTGTAGAACTGTGCTGTGAACAGTTTAAGGTTTAGAAGTAGTTGGGAAGGATGTTTTGTATTCCAGGGAAATTTATAGAAAGGCAAAGAAAATAAAGCTATGTTGTTTTTGTTTTGATCTTTAGTGATAATAGTTGTTTTATTTTTTTATAAAATTAGAACAATATTTTAAACAAATAATTTTGCCAAACTCTAGTTCAAAATTTATTATTTCTTTGAATATTATCAAAGTGTTTTATCATGATAACTATTGCTTAGGAATTGAAGATACTAAAAATCCAATTGGAACTGAAATCAAAGATTCCGATCAAGAAGAAGGTGCACTAATATTTATAAAAATATAGAGCTCCAAATGTTTGAAGAAAGACTTGAAGCAATCAAAGAAACTGGGAAATTATTTGAAGAACTCAGTGCTAATAAGACTTCCCTCAGAGATTTACTCTATAACCTAGGTAAGAATGAAAATAAACTATAGGTGACTCACTGTATAGTTCAAGAATCCTCCTCCCTTCAGGTAATCAAGAGAGGGAGAAGGTAAATCTTGAAAAAGAGATTGCTGTAACAATGAGAGAAACATTGAAGAAATTCTCTGTAAAAATATTAAAATCCCTTCCTCAAAAAGAGCTTAAAGACCAAGAAATCCAAGTCAATAGGTATTCCCTCGTTCTAAATCTCTAGAAACATTGAGGATCAAATAAAAGCTAACAAATAAGTTAGAAAGACAAGTTGAGAAGTACCAATTCCAGGAAAGAATTTTGGAAGACAAGCTACTCACACTCTGGAAATCCATTTATTCCTACAAATAAAAACGAAGTTGAGTTCAAAGAGAGAATCTACAAAATGAATGAGCAGATTGAGGATTTCACTCATAAAGTTGATGAAAAGTATGCCAACTGATAAACCTCCTAGAGATAAGAGACTTAAAGAACTGGAAACACTCAAATAACTCCCTTGCAGTGTATTTTCATAGATAAAGCCATAGCCAAATCGATCAATTGGAGAAGGACATCTTCATGTCGCAAATGAAACTTAAAGAGCTTCAACGGATTGTCCAGATAAAAGATTTGATCATTCAGGATCAAAAACAAGAAATCGAAGACAGTCCGTATCTGTTATAATCTCTAGATTTTAGTAGCCATGATGACTTGAGTGACATCTCAAAGCTAAACAGTGTGTCTTCTAGGAAATTGAAGAAATAAATTTGATCGATGTATGCTTTTCCTGACTATTAATAGCCAAAACTGTGAGAGGAATCAAGAGCAAAAAGTCTAAAGATAAAGAAGATGAATCTTATTCCCGATCTGAAAGTCTTCCATCCCAAAAAGGAGTGAAAAGACAAAGTAAGAGATATCTTAAACTTTAGAAACTAAAATTTTCAATCAATCGAATTTTTTGAGGAAAAGTACAATGCATCCTTCTAATTCTATAAAAATGAGGCAATTTCAAAGAAGAACAACAAAGAAATTATCATCTAAGAATCAGAGTGGAGTCTTCAAAAATTATCAAAGAGGGAAGACTAAAGTTGGATTTAGTCTTGAAGAATCCTTCTCTGAGAGTCAATCTAATTTTAGCAATAGCAAACGTAAAGAGAGTGTTGGGCAGAGTTAGTTTTCCTATACTCACTTAAATAGCTAAAATAATTGTGGGGGACTTGAATTCTCAAAAAGGAATAAGCAAGACAACTAAATAAACTGCCTGTCAAACAAAAGCCAACTTTAAGCAACTTTTCTGAACATAAAAGTATATCAACTCCTAGATCTAGATCTAAAAAGTAATTTTACTCCTTAATTCTTTGTTGGAAAATGTTCTAGGACCTCTCAAAAGTCTCTTGGGTTATCAACCCCAAGAGAGTATGTTAAAAGTGACATCTCAAAAGAAGAAGTCAAGGCTACGAAAACCAATAAGGAACATACGAGTTCAAAAATATCGCCTGTCAAGAAATTAGAGCTACAGTCAAGGCAAAATGAAGACTTGATTGTGCCAAGAGGTAAATTTGCTAACAGCAGGCAATTCTATAGCATAGTTTGAATGATTTGACCCTTTAAAATAGGCTGATTATTATATTCTTTACTTTTCACTTCTAATAACTAAGCCCCTCCTAAATGAAGCAATCAAGCTCCTGACATAGCTCCAATTGTCTTCAAGGAAGGATTCTTGAAGAAATCACCCAAGCAGCCAACCTCTTTTGCAAACAATCATATTCCAGGGGAGTGAGATTGTAAAGGATTATGCAAATTTTTGAAGAAAAATGTTAAGAAAGTGAATAACAGAACTGTCATGAAAATCAACACTCAAGTCATGGGATCAAAATGAGCCATTTAGAATTTACATATCTAAAAATACCTTCTTATACGTTTATCAGAGAATTTTGAGACATAAATATTGTTTTAATCCCACTGAAGTTAATTAAAAGGGGCTTAATAATTATGGGAATATGAATTAACTTTAGTTTTGTTTAATCTATTGCAAATAATCTGTATTTTCACTTAAAATTTAATTTCTCTATGTCCTTCTTCTGCAAATATTTTAATCTGTGTCGTTTTCAATCATCACGTGTTAGAGGTTTTAAAAGCGCTAAACTTCTTGTTGAAACAATTAGTAGAGTACAAATACATCATAATCTAACTAAAGTTTTAAGCAAAAGTACTATTTAGCACCATTTCAATTAGTTTCTTTGCTTTCGGGGTTTTGGGGTTTTGGGGTTTTGGGGTTTTGGGG